TTATTTTTGTTATTTATGCTTTGAGCCATTTATATGAAATATAGCTCATTTGGGCGAAGGTGCAGAAGAAAGTACACAATGTCAAAAAGAAAATAAAAAAAAACACAACTCCCTGTTGTGCACTGTGTGGAGTGTACAGCTGTACCACAGCTTTTGAGGCTAAGTGCAGGTGACAGGAACCTAAAGCAGTCTCTCCCCCTTTTTTCAGCCAGTAGTGTACATAGTTACTTATTCAGGTCACGTAAGAGGGATACAAGCCAGAAGCAGCAAAGAAAAAGACATGCAATGTCTGCTGACATATAACTACAGGAATTGTGTTTCTTAACAATTCTTCACCACTGAGGGAAAATTATATTTTTAAAACTTTTGCCCAGTTGGCATGTTGTGGCTTTGAGCGAACCTGTCTTGCCACATGCTGAGCCAGATAAGGGTCATAAAAAATTCCATATGTCAGCTTGGGCTGTTGTAAGCAGTGGGGCAGTAAATGTGTGGTGCCGGGAGTCTTAATTGGACAAAGCAGGATGCATACTGTAGAAGGCTGGATTTTCTTTACCTTTATAGTGTTTTACAGTTTTGTACTCATTTGAGTAGACAACTTTGTTTAGCAGAATTGAATGCTTAAAAGTATAGTGTGCTGCTAAAGTGCACACTCTCAGTAGCATCAATATAATCTCTCATAGTCTCATAAATAATATTATACCGCTAAATATTCCATTAAGACCTTGCTTATTTGAAATATTTATGAACATTATACCAATAACAGCATTAGTAGCATTAGGGTTGTATTCAGTGTTAAGCCCTACATTGTCTCGATTTGCATGAACATTAATTCCAAATTAAAGAGTAAATTCACTGAGACGTGGTTTGTCAATGGAGCTTATACACATAAAAACATGCTAAGGTTATGGATGGCTGATGTTTGTAATACATAATCAAGGTAAATATCTGTTAAAAAACTCATATTTTCATATTTTAAAGTATGTATTGCTCAGTTTTCCTAGTCAGTGTTTAAACAGATCAGAGCAACCCATGCTACTGTCATTATACTGATGGTACCGCAGCTTCCAGCTGGATTGACCATCAGCCAGCAGCCATGGACCAAAATCTGTGAGGAAACCTACGCTTAGTTCAGTCGGTGCCATGAAGAATTAAGACAGTTCTAAATGCATAAGACATGACAGGTTATAGATTTGTGAAAAACGTATCAAACTATCAAAGTGCGGGACCATGAATCATTTTTCACTCTATAAAATTCAACTTGTCTGTGCAATGTTAATAAAAAAATATATTATTGCACCTCATGGTCTTTCTGTACTTTGCAACACTTTCAAGTTTTGTGCACTTAGTCACCTGTTAATATGTTGCTCATAAACTAGGTTAAATTAAGTAATTTGTATTAATATGGTGTTAGTCATAATCTCCCATTATCACATGATTTTTTTAATAGACTCTTCAGAAATTACCCAACGCTTAAGGGATTCGGGAACGGAACAACATAAAAAAAATGAAGCTTGTTTGTTCGCTTTGACAGTTTCAGTGGGGACTCTTTGGCAACATAGCAGATGTTTCTCATTACAACAGCCCCCACTACAGAGTCCCAGACGTGTCAAATCAACTACACAATTCAGTTACACTGTGTTCTTTTGGGATGTTTCACTTCAACACAAAACTCATAAATCAAGTATATAGTAGATGGGACAAGTGAGAATGATATGAAATGTTACACCGAAGTATTAAATTGAATAGATTTGCTTGAATGGCTGTAGAATGATGCAGGCGAGAGTTTGCAACCTGAACAGGACTTTTTATGGGCATTGTACTGCAGTTTGATGCAGGTCTTTAGCTTGGGTATCTTTTGCTAATCATACAGTCAAATTAAGGAAACTGGTGGTTAGAGACTGTTGCACAACCATAATTATTGTTACTGTTGCCTTTGAGAGACAGTGACTAGTCTACAACCACTTGCAGTCAGTTGCTATCTTTGAAGCAACCTCAGTGCATAAAGTCAGTCTGCTTAGTTTGTCATATCTGTTGCCATCTCACAGAAATTCACTGTTTACATTCAGAGTCCAGCCAGAACCTCAACGATTTTAAATAGAAGTTCAGAAATTCCTCCACAAATTTTGATGCAGTTGCTGCAGGACAGCAATTTAACTATTGCAAAGACATTGCATTGTATACTAATATAGTATATTGTGTATCTACATACTGTATTAGTATGTAGATACACACAAGATAGCGACATTGTCTAATTCAGTGAAATAATAAAAAAAAGAGACATTGTATGTAAATATATGTGTATATACGTTCTTCACATCCAGAGAATAAAACAAAACCATTTACATTCAAACAGCAGTGTGAAGTCAATGTGTCAAGACTACCAAAGTTAGATACAGTACAGTATAAACAAAACCTACAGACATAGTCCTCAATACTTTTGTCATACTTTACAACATTTTACCAAGTGTCATCGGGGACATCACAAATCCTTTGGAGAGTCATATGAAAACATTTCACACATAAATACACAACTTAAATGATACACAAGATTTACTACATTTACCAAAAGCCTATGGCGTTTCCACAAATCTGAAATTACTTTCATCAATGATTATGAGGCATTACTACACAATAAATGACTATTTATGGATACTTTATAGCTTTCCCATTGTACATGAATCACGTGCTGCAAAGCAGTACAGCGTCAACCATACATGCAGATTGTATTGTTTATGTTTAAATGAAGAAACTGTCCTGCAGATATGATATGATAAAACTACAAACTGTATGTTGGATATTAAAGCCTGATCTCACATAGAATCAATACAGAATGAAAACTGAGAACATATGACACAAACTGATTGGTTTTGCCTCAAACATTAACCACTTACTAATAATGTTTCTTAAAAATATGCCAATTCATTGTTTAGTGTAGAAATAAGTGCTTTAAGTCACAGCTGTATTAAAGACTGACAATGGAAACATACAACAGTTATCATACATAAATGAATAGTCAGCAATGTAAATGTATTGACCTTTTCATTGGTGGTCATTTCAGATATCCATGAGATTTTTCACAAATGAATCTTATGAAAGAGTTACTACCATTAAAAAAATAAAACACAGACAGTGGTTGAATGCTTTCATGAGTATACTGTACTCATTTATACTGTATATATAAATCATGCATACGCACACTCACACTTGTCCCCTTTGCAGAAATGTTAGATTTATAAAATATTTACATTGACTGATAGTGACGTGTGTTCCCAGCATTATGGAAAATGTGTTAAAATGATTTACAGTGAAGAGAAAAAAGACAAATAAAAAAAAGAAACAAACGTTCAAAGAAGGTTCTGTGATGTGAATGAGAACACACATTTCTCAGTAAATGCTTTCAAACTGTTTTATCAGTACACATTTTTACAATTTTTAGTGTTTTGTGGTGTAAAATGTGACAAGTTTATCATGTATACTTCTTAATAAGGCTGTGTGCAGACTAGCATTAGCACTGTGCTAAAGCAGAGGGCTCTTTCCAAAAAATAAAATCATATACCTTAACCCTTAATGTCTTCTTTATACCTCATTCTCGGGGAATAAAATACTTTTAGCCTTTAAATAAATTCCAAAAAGAAGAGTAAATTGTGCGTTTTCATCCCTGGTCACAAAATATTGACATTCTATCAGATGTCACTGGTGTCCCATACATAAATAGTAGTAGTAAATAGTAAAACTACCAGGCATAGGAAGGGACCATGGTTTGTAAATTCATAACCCTGCATGTATAAAAAATGCTCTAAACCAGTGTGGTTAAATACAACACCAAGAGCTCCTCTACAAGTGTCAATATGTGATGATTTGGGGACAAGAGACCCCTTAAACTAGGTGTGTTGTAGTACCACAAGCTTGTAAGTATTGGAGACTCCAGAGGCTTTGACAAAATCTCAGTATTTCATTCCTGGGAATAAGAGTAGGCTAAATTAATGCATGCATTTTTATCCACTAATCACTATAAAGATTTGGTTCACTGAGGTAAGAAGGGTTTTGCCCCAGGTAGGATTCATATCAAAGTAACTGAGAAAGCACCAGTCAGACCTAAAACAAACAGGCAGTGGAAGTTTTGGAGATTTGTATAATTTGCTCATGCATGAAAATAAGGAACGCTATTCCTTGACACTTCACACAGATCTAATGCTTCTCCTCTTTTGCCATTTTTAGTTTCTTCAGTGTAGCAGGACAGGTTAGTGGACATTAATGTTGCTTGCTTCATTTGCATCACGATTTTGCCTGCTTCTATTGCACTTTCCATTTTTTATGTGCAAACTGATTATAAGATCACTAAACTCAAACGTTCATACTGGCCTTAAGATATTGTTTCGTAGCATGACTATCCTGTAAAAAGACGGGGACAAAATGCAAAAGTAATCCCACCTATATCAGGATTTAGCGGCCTGAAGTTTCTTACAAATCGGTAAGCTTTTTAGTACAGATAGTACACTTGCTAACATTAAGATACAGATTCAGTTTAGGTAGAAAAGAATAATGTGTACTGGCTTCAAAGAAGATGGAAGTGAATCTACCGTAATTTCTAAAGAAACAGAAACATGGCTTTGTTCATTACACAAGAGGAATTAAATCTTTCTCCTCTTTCATGCGAACATTAATAATTGTGGTCTTCTTCAATTTGATTTAATTTTCTTCCTACTACGGTACTGGAAAAAGCAGCACGTCATCCAATTAACTTCCTGTATTCTGTCTGAAAACTGAGTACTGTTGACATCTTAATTATTTTTAAATGCTTTATGAGGGGTAAGGATAAAGACAGCAGTAAAAGTAAATGTGATGTGTGCTTGAAGGAGCCAAGTCCTGTAAAATAGTCAGATGTCACCTCTACACCCCCCCCCCCAATTTTTGCACATGTCGAGGAGCGTGTCAGGCTACATTTCACTGTGTGTTATACTTGTATAACTACGCATGTGACAAATAAAGAACCTTGAACCTTGAACCTTGAAGTCTTTAAATAAATGCTGCATTTCATTTGCCTTGGAAGTTGCACATCAGAGTGGGGTGTGATGTCACTCCTGAGCCGAGTGTGTCCTAGCGGCGTTCTGCTCCTTCGCAAGGTAGAGCCATTCATGCATGACTAGCAATATAGCGCTTTGCTTATTTTATAAGCTGGAAAACACCACTGCTGCATGTTCACACACAAAACGTGGTCAATGCTCTGAATATGGCTTATTCAGCAATATAAGCTTTACATGCACTGCTATACTGGATTGTAAAATCGTTGTTGGTGGGAATTCTCCAACCTTCCGAATTGGAAGTCAGATTTGAGGGGGGTGTTCCAGTTAAAAAACAAAAAACAAACTTTTGGTTGGGAAAATTCCAAGTTCAAATGAAACACACCATTGGCTGTCAACATTCAAATGTGGCTTCTCTTTGATAATATTCTGTAAACATTGCAACCATGTTGCCTAACTGATGCACACGTTAGTAAGGATCACTTGAGCAGGTGCAAACATCTTGACTAGAAATGAAGAGCGTGAGCTAGTGGTGCGAACCAAAATCGCCTGCATGAACTGCACACACAGGAACAAACACTGAAACAAAGAAAAGTTTTCTGTGCTGCTGGCAAGTTATATCAGTATTTAATTTTGAAAATAAAAAAACAAACATGTAACATATAAACCTTTCATAAATACTGTATGATATTTAATCCATTTTCATTTAATAAACAAGAATATGTTGATAAATTAAGTTTAACATGTGAAAGATACAGATATGTTTAATACTTCAATATGCACATGTTAGACGTCCTATCTGATTCATTATTGATAATGAAAAAAATAAATGAGGCAGGCAAGATTTCTTGGTTTGGCACTAACTGTGTCAAAAGAATTTACAGTGTAACCAAAGGCCTTTTGTGCACAACATGAACCCGGGAGGATAATCAAGCAGTCAGTAATTATTGATTTAAAAATGATTTAGTCAGGCTGAAAGATCTGAAAGCATCGTAGTCCAAGTAAAGCAGTTCAGATGCAAATTGTAGACAAAGCACAGCGCAGGAGTAGCTGTATCAAGCTCACCGTACAGTACAGTTAAAGGACCTGTGTTGGTGTGGATAAGAAGTCATAATTTCCTTCAGATGCATGACAGCCCGGATGGACAATCCTTTTTCCCCCTCACTCGTTTTCCTCTATGTATCTATGGGAAGTGGCCAGTTTTCCTGGATGGCGAGCTCCAAGCATGTGGCAGATTTTAAGGGTGATGGTGGGATGGACAGAGTCTGAGAGCACTGTTTGTGTCAGGCGAAGGGGCTGTCTGACTTGAGTATGGAGGCATCTGAGTCGTGGCAGCCTTTGCCGTTCATGTGTTCCGAGTGACCGTCGATGCTGTAGCAGCCCTGTACCTCAGTGATGGAGGAAGCTGTGTAGGAAGCTGAGCGCAGGGCATCCGAGTGGTTTCCTATGCTGCTGCCAAACTGGATATGATACTGGTTCCAGTGCCGCCTCAGAACAGCTTGGACCTGACCAGAGGGATCATATATCAGATATTAGCTGACAGGAAAGCTTTCAAAGGTGATATAAAGCCTGAGAGTTCAAGTGATAAGCCCAAAGTAATTTTGCATAAGATGGCAGAACAAAATACACAAATAAATATTTAGATGGGTTTTTTCTTTTTACTTCGGTTTTTGGTTTATTTTTTGGCACCAGCTTCTCCATGCACATCTGTGAAAAGTCTAGGGTGACTTTCTGACAATTACACTTTTGTAAAATCTTAGCACAACATTGGTAAACAACAGTTAACAGAATTCTTTTAACCTTCAAGGGACGGTATCCTGAAACTTTTACAGCAGTGTCCCTGCTGCAACACACCTGAATAAAATTTGTAGGTCATTAGCAAGACTTGACTGTATGCCAAGGTGGCAACCCCCAACCCTACTCACGTATATTTTAATAAAAGTGTAAGTTTAAAAAAATAATAATTCTAAAACTACTTTTATTGCACAGTGTTCTTTCACTCTTAAGCTGCTGTAACACAAATCAGATGGCTGAATTGCCACATCAGCCTATAGTCAAGTTCTATAGAGGTAAGGAACTACTAAATTTTATTCAGGTGTGTTGCAGCACGGACACGTGTAAAGATGTCAGGACACCGGACCTCGAGGACTGGCGTTCGACAGCTGTGCTTTAGACAGAGCCAAAGTTAAGGTGAAGTTTTTGTCTTAATGTTTATATAGGCTAAAAGCTTTCAAGCTCCAATTGTGTAAGCATGAAACAACTGATTATCACATAGTCAGTGAAATAGTTTACTCAAAGACAATTAATTGATAAAGCGGTATAAGAAATTCATTGATGAATTTCTTAAATATGAAGATGATGATTGTATATTATCCGAAACTTGAAAAGTTGAAGCAGTGGTAGAAATAAAAATTGATAAGCATTTTCACATTTTCTGATACTCGGGAAGGAAAATAGGAAAATATTCCCCTGCGAAGGACTGCATTTCTTCTTTTATCTGTGCTGATATGAAACCTTCAAATGACTCACAGACATGATAACACCACTAAACAATGGACGTTGGATAGACGTTCAGATAATGTCTATATTGGGTCCATTGGTCCATGACCGATTCTGGACATCTATTCTGGATGTCCAAACAAGGTCCACAGTTTTGGCGTCTAACCATGACCCAGCCTGGACATTAATATGATGTTCAACATTTGAACTTTAGACTGAGTAATATTTTTGGAGGTCATGTGGATGTCTATGATAGGTGCAGGAAATTATACATGATTAATAAATGTATTATTTTTTTATTTACAAATATCAAAATTGTTGTTATCAACATGATACATATAAATATATGCATTACTTGATTACATGATTTATTGTTTATCTTTTTTTTTTTTTGCTTGTTATTTTTAAAGTTCCAGTTTTGCTTTAACTGTTTTATTTATTTTAATTAATTAATTATTTTAATTAACTTATTTGTTTGTACTATAAATATTCCATACATGGAAGTCATACGGACACCAACACAAGTATAATGGATGTAGACAAAAGACGTCGCTTGTTGTTACAAAACAACCCCTTCAGCGGACCAAAATTATACGTCCAAAAATGACTTCTAAAAGACGTCACTTTGCGCAGTGGGATGTGCCTCTTATCACCTTAATCTATGAGAGAAAGCACATCTGTTTATTTCCCACAATTTTAAATGTGATTTTAAAATGACTTCATCCTTTGGGATGTGATAGTCTCAGGAGCATTGTTGGTAAGCAACCAAGAAACAGCAGAGACATGGCTAGCCTAGCTTAAAGCTAGAAGTACTAAATAACACAAGGGATTTAGATGCTTTAGTTTTTGCTGGACGAACAACGGCAGGGCATCATGGAAATTTTTTGCACAACTGTAATAAATTTGAGGGCAATTTGAGAGTCTACCTAACTCTAAAATAGTGTGCTGTTATGCTAACCACAGCATAATATTGATGTCTTCATTTTTTGGATGGTAATTCACTACTTGAGACTATTTGGACAACGTTTCTAGTAGACAATGGCAGATGCAGTAAGCATGTACTGAGGTTGGGGTTTGGCCAAGGCCTTAGGGACTTGGGCCAGGCAGATCTCAATGCACTAATGAGAGGTGAAAGAATTGAAAAAGAGGGAGGAAGAGAGGGTACGAAAAGGAGAACAAACAGCTTGTGGGTTAGTAGGGCACATATATACACAGAGAACCAGGGGAGGGGTGCTTCTGTTTTCTAGTTCTTCATTAGATTCTTGTGACACAGAGACACTTTATTAGGGACATCAATTCAACTGTTATTTTGTAAAAATGCCTTATTAGTCAAACATATGGCAGCAACAGCATGTAGGCATTCAGACTGACAATCTGCTGAAGGGTCATGGTTGTTGGTGCCAGACGGGCTGCAACCTACACAACCATCTCTAGAGTTTACAGAGAATGGTCCAAAAAGAGAAAATATTGACTGAGCAGGTGTTCTCTTGGAGAAAAGGCCTTGTTGATTTCAGATGTCAGAGGACAATGACCAGACTGCTTTCAGCTGATGGCAACAGTCACTCAAATAGCCATTCATTACAGCTAAGGGATGCAGTAGAGTATCTCTAAATGCAAATACTCCGAAACTTGAGGCAGATGGAGTGCAGCAGCACACGACCAGTTTTGGTAGCTAAGAACAGGAAACTGACTATGTTTCACACAGGCTCACAAAAATCAGACAATGGAAGATTGAAAAAGATTGAATAGCATCAATTTCTGCTGCAGCATTCGGATGGTAAGGTCAGAAATTGGTGTAAACAACATGAAAGCATGCAAACATTTCAGGCTGCTGGTGGTGGTCTGAGATATGGAGTGAGATATACTTTCTTGTCACATTTTGGGCCCCTTGGTGCTAATTTCACAGCCAGACTGTTGTTGCTGATTATCCCCATCCCTCTATTGCCACAGTGTACCGTCTCCTAATGCCTGCTTCTAGCAAAGTAAACATGAGTTCACTGTACTGAAATGGCCTCCACATTGACCAAATCTATGTCTAACAGAGCACCTCTCAGATGTGGCAGGACATGTCACATCATGGATGTGCAGCAACAAGTCTGCAGCAGCTGTGTGATGGTTCCAGCACATATCTATTTCATGAATAGTTGAGGCACTCCTGAAAGCAAAACCTGGAACATGCATGATCCATTTCTTCACATAGCATTGTTTATCTTTCACTGTAAATTCTCTCTGAAGCTCTCTTTGAGAAAAACGTGTTTTGATTAAAGTGTCGTTCTATTGTGCCTTACTGAGTCAGTGTTTCTGAGTACAGAAATAACAATGCCACTTTTTCTTTGAGTGTATAATGAGCACAGGGTTAGGACACACTATGACAGTAAAATCACAAGATAAATATCAAAGGGAAGTTACTTAGTGGATCTTGTAAACCATTCACTTCAAGTCAAGTTCTCTGCAGACCAATTGCCTGCAAAATTGACAGTAATCAGCATGTAGCTCATGGCTGCTTGCTAGCAGCATAATTTTCAGTCTGTGGAGAGCAATGCTGGAGAAGTAGTCCGACTTTTGTCTTTACTCAACAGCTGTAAGCACAAGCTGATTTTATTTTAAAATGTTTATTGAAAAATTGCTTCTCTGCTGTAATTGACCTTCCTTTAATCTACCGTAAGCTCCATTTTTTAGGTATAACCACAGGGAAAGCAAGTAGAAACAATGCATTTGCAAGGATCCAGAATCATAGGTGTTGATTTATTTTTACTATTTATTACTAAATGCCCAAAGATGATGTCAGCTACTTTAGTAATTCGCTGACCTGGACTGAAGTTTCTTGGGTTGTAGAAAATGAAAGGTAACATTCCTAAACTTTTGCATCACCAGCATTTTCTTTTTTTTTGGTCTGACAAAAAAGTAAGACCTTTGAACAAAGGTGTACTTTGGACAGCCCATTCCAAGAGTTTTTAATTTAACATGCTAGATTATTCTCTAGGGTATCTTTGCTGTAATTTCATTCAGTGTAATCAAGCTGGTAGCCTGAAATGTTATGACTACATATTGGTTTCCCCAACATTGGAAGAGTAGCACCGGGGCAATGACCCTGTCAACGCATGACCCTTCTCAACCATGAGGTCAGCACAAGTGTGGGATAGGGTGTGTACATGTGTTGAAATATCAAAAAAAAAAAAAAAAGAATAATAAAAGGGCATAACCCCGTCTTACTTCTCCATTGAAAAAGCAGAAGATGGTGGCCACAAGCAGACCCTGGAATGAAAAAAAAAAAAAACACATTAGAAGAGAGATAACATACAGCTTACTAATTGGTCTCAGGAAAGTCATTTGTAGACAACATCTTAGGGTCTAAAGTGCTGTGAAGCAGGGAAACTTAAGAGGTCAAAGTGAATACATTTTGAAAGCTGATTCAGGCTGTTACTCAAGACATTTTCCCTGCACTGCGCACACTGGGACAGCTCAAGATGATCAGATAACGCTTCATCAACATCCAACGGATTTCAGTCTCTTTCAACTCAAATAATTTGTGCCTTACTTCCTGCTGTTCTTGCCTGGGCTAGACAAACAAAGTCTTTTCTCTGGCTAATGAGAATGTTTGACTCTTGTTAAAAGCTAGAAAACAATGAGGTTAATGTCCATTTAACAAATGATTTTATTAAAATACATGTCTCAAGCACCGAAGGAGACAAAGCAATCAATTTTCATAATAAAATAAATATGCATGATAGAATGACAACAGAACTACACAAACAGAACAGTTAAAGACTGCCGTAGATGCCACAGGCAGTCGGCTTTCTATGCTTTATATGAATGTGTAGAAATGACGAGAATCCCCTCAAACCTTCACACTGATTAATAACCGCTGTCTCACCTGGTAATGCATGAGTATGTGCATGATGTAGTCATATATTTCCGAAGAGACCCGTCCCTCTGGCTTGTAGGGAAGCAGGACGTACTGAATTCCAAGCAGAGGGACCAGGATGAGCGTGGCTCTCACGGCTTTCATGTACAGACTTGATTCTGCTTGATGGGTCACCTTCAGTTTGGTGATGAGAACTCGCACGATGTTGAGTAGAAAGAACAAATTAACCTAAAGGGGGAAGTCATATATAAATCAGCATTACAGTCTAGTCTTTTGATAGGATGTGAAAACAAGCAATGCCCCAAGTATAAGAGCATAAAGAGCAGTATGGCACTTTCTTATAAGAGGTGAAAATCTTTATTGGTGACATGCTTGTTAGACACTGTTTACTTGCTGTAGGTTATACTTTTTGTCCTCCTCTTGAGGAGTTTCCTCAGATTTTTTTAAGGGCACAATGCACATCATGCTGATTCCTCTGAAAATAGTCTGGTACAAGGACTGGACTGAAAATGTTGAAAGACGTTCAGCCCGGAGAACTATTGCTTAAGACCACTTCTAAAATATTACAAGTACTTCTAGTTCATTGGAAGCAAATGATAAAGAAATCAAAACTTTTGCACAGTACTGTATTTGAATTATTAAGAGACTACAGAGCTTCTTTTAGGCATCATTTCTTTAAACACGTCAATCCTAACAAGACAAGTGTTAACAAAAAATCAAAGAGGAATGTTTGCTTTTTCTAATAAGCCGAGAAAGTCTTCAGTTCCGTTACTGCAGTATTATAAGACACCGAGTCTACTTCTGATACACGGTAAGGTTAGGAAACCTACACATAACATTTTAAAGGATGTTGGAGGCTGAACATTTAGTACAGACTGTCCTAAGGGACCAGTGTTCTCTGAAGCATGCTCCAATGTGCTGATTAGGTGAATTCCTAGAAAACAACATAAGCTTGGGGACCAGTGGGTGGATTCTCAAAGGGGAAGATGCATTGATTTCACAAGACAAACACACTTATGCATGTTCTGAGACTGTCCTGCTCACAGGACCCCCCACAGAGTCCACTCAGAGGAGGACAAAAGCAGCTTATTGTACTCTTTGCGCAACAAACAGTGTGGCAAGAGAAACATGAAACAAATCAGCTGGTTTATTCTAGTAAATAGATATATAGTGAATTACTTGTTGAAACTGATTGGAGTTAGGAAAGAAAAGAAGTAGTATTCTTACCAAAAGAGCAGCACAGATGGGGCCGTGGATGATGTAGAGCAGTGATGTTTTTGAGCTAATCCAGCAGCTGCAGAGGAGAGCAGTACAAAAAAGTTTACACAACAGTAACGTTGCATCACATAACAGCAAATCTATCACAGCAATCGGTGGGTTTCCTTAAAAAATATTATACAGGAGAACTTCTTGCACAAGCATTGGCGTTAACTCACTTGTCGTTGTAGTAGTAGCTCCGAGCGACGGCATGTATGGTGGCTGGGATAAGAGGAAAGCCTGCAAAACAAAGTGAGCAAGTTAGGTAAAGAAAGACCCTTCAGTTAGAAAAATGTAGTGATTAGCTGACTGATATCCTCTTCTTACCCCATCCTAGGAGATAGTACCACATCAGATGCTGCTTCTCAGCAAACACTGCCACCACGATGAGAGTGTGCAAATATATCCCCTCACACAGCATCCAGAAGTAATTACAGCCAAACAGGTACAGGTGAATAAACTGGGACACTTTACAGCTTGTCTGAGGAAGGAAAACACATAATAAATGTGGATTTATAGCAACTGATTTATGTTTAATATTAAACTAGAATGACTGGTGTAATGGTGCACATTAAACTAATAGAGACATTTGTGAGGCTACAGTCAAGTGAATCAATACAAATAATAAGAAACTGACTGGATTCCTCTGCACGAGCTCCTGGTTGTTGGCCACTGCAGTCAGCAAAATGATGGTGATCACAGAGTTCAGAACAAAAGAGAAGAAGAGGTTCTTATGAAGGGTGATCCTTTGACAGCTCAAACTCCTGGAAAAACAGAAAACTGAAGTTATGCCACAACGCTTTTATGTTATGCACAGACTGAGAAGCATCCGTCTATGGAAGTCGCTCATATAACAGAAGTTGACTCACTTGAAATGGAAAAAAATTGCTAGGGAGATGAGGAGGGAAGTCAGAGACAGCCCATGTCCTATGAGGGCAAGGTAGAAAAGGTTCATTGCAGTCTGAAAAGAAACAACAGATGGAAATTAGGTTATCAGGCTGTAATCTCATTATCTTTCTCCAAATGGCTACTTGACTAAGCATCAACATACATCTCAGCATTTGCACTGAAAGGCTCTTGAAAATGTTCCATTTGTCTTTTAATATTTATAATTTCAAGCTGATGGTGTTTTTTTTATGAACCAGTTACAGGAAATTATAGTACAGTGCAATTATAATATAGTTTCTCCTTGTGTCCAAAAAAAGGGGGGGGAAATTGGGCCAAAGCAGAACAAATTCCAGCCTGTATTTGGTCACCAAGCAGACATGCTGTGGTGTTCAGAGCGTGCAGAGCCCCTCACAACCACATCACATGGCCATCAAAGCCATACTTTTCCTATTGTTGATTATCTAACATATAAACTCAGTCCTACCTACTGCCATTTTCAACCTACCATTCTGCCTTCTACAGTGTGCTCATTGCAGCGGGTGTAGTTGGTCCATGTCCTGTTGCTCTCCGGATGCAGAAACCATTGACCACTGTCAGTGCAAATCTTTGTGACCATCTCTGCAGAACAAAAAGTGGTAAATAATTTAAATGTATTATTCTGATTTTTCCAGTAGAAGGTAAAGGCAGATGAAAAAGAAAAACATCATTATGGATGGAGCTAATGAAAACGTCAATTAGAAGAATGAAATCTAATTATAAGCCTGCACATCCTGTTGATGGTTGCGGTTGACTGAATGTGGTTAAGAAGTCCCCGGAAGCTTAAATCAAATTTACTGTAATAAACAGTGATGTATTTACACCACTCCATACATGCATAAGTTAATAATCACACACACAAAAACCCTGCCTCATTAACAGAAGGAGCTGAAGTCAGTGATTTAATACACATTTAATACACTAAACATTACAAATCCTGTGTTAATACTGAGAACAGAGCTTTTCTGCTTCATGGCCATTTGCTGTAATTGGTATTTACATTCAGTGTGTGAGCATAGTGTGAGGTATAGTCTTTGCTTTTTTCACTTAGAAAGATTCAAGCTAAAAGGTGAAGCAAATTTATACATGAAGAACAGTCATTAATCATGAAGAGCTCCCCTTAGCCTGCGAAATCTGTTACATAATACCTTTTGTGGTTCTGGAGAGCTTTAACCTTGGTGATATAATAAGTGTTATCTTGGTTTGGGCTTTTGTTTTTTTACTAAAGGCCTTCAAAGTTATGAATGAGGACCTGAAAGCCACAACAAGGAATAATCATCAGAGTAACTTGTCATCTGTAAATCTGCAGGTGGATGAAGAAAATTGGCTGCTAGAAGCTGTAGATCTCACCTGATGGATCAAAATCCTGGAAGTAGTCCGGGCAGTGCTGCTCGGATGTAACTCCTGCTTTGGTGTCATCCCAGCAAAGCCAGCCGTCCCATGTGCGATTGCACACAGGTTCTAAAAATACAGACATCATTTTAAGAGCTTTTTTGCTCTTCACTTTGGAACATTCCAAACTAAGAATTAAGGAATAGATTAGGGTTCTCTTAACCAATTTCAATCAAGACAGCTTTACCTTGTCTGCTGTGGGTATTTTCTTTCATTAACTTTTGATAGCACTCAAACTGGGCTGTGACTATCTTGTTCCTGGTGACCGTAATGTCATTGTAGACACTGGTTGAAGCCTGCTGCTGGGTTTCATTGATCGCCAGACTTGCCTTTACCGTAAACTACAAGACAGGTGAGAAAAAATAGAAATCCACTCATTTTTTTAAGCTTTACAAAGTAGAATGAGAGATATGTTTTGGTACAGTGCAACAGAAACCAAGTAAAAGAAACAAGTGTATAAATTCTCGCTCAGTGAGAGGGTACAAAAAGTACTGTTGGTTATGTTTAAAATGAGTAAAGATGTCTCTGAGCCATCTTTGGTTATGTACTTGCGAACCCTCTGGTGATGCATTAGTCTAAAACAGTCAACACATACTACCAAATGCAGGAAAAGGGAGTCATACTTAGTGATTCATTAAAGTCAGTTGCGCTGCATGGAAACTATGACATCTATGCCTAAGTATTGGTGCACAGATGTGTCCAAACACCAACCTGAAGCTGCATTTTTTGTCCTTTAAAGGATAACATCAAACATAAACAGCCTAGCAGTACATAACTCTCTGAGGTAGAATTAAAGGTTGTTGCTGTATTTATGAAATTTAGATCAGTAAGAACTAAACTGTGTCTTGTGTGCATTTTGGCTGACCTACCGCTGCTGGATTACACAGCAGTATAAGCGCTACCATCCAAATCTGTCCAAAGCCATCCAACTTCCTGTCAGCCATTTCAGAGCTGGACGATGATTTACAAACTGCAGACCTGCAATGGAAAGCAAATAATTAAACATTAACATTAGATAATCATTAAAATGTAATAAAATGTCCTCATAAAAAAGGCCCTTCTTATATATAAGATGACACTGGAATGACACTGAATAGTCTAAGTGGATAAGAGTGAGTTGACCTTTGCTAAATGCTCATTAAGTTTCTGTTTTTCCAGTTCAGGACATCAGCTGAGTTAGAAAATTTACTGAATCATTAAATACAACAAATTTATTCTGTGACCAAAAGAAACTTTGTAACAAGAACTTGGCCGAATCAGTTTGTTTTAATACCGAGGATTAACTACAGCAAAGCACTGTACAGTATGTTCTCCCAATAAACAGCAATATAACGTGCCCTGGCTCTCCATGTTAGGTCAGCTTGGAATTACAGGCTCCTGTGATGTAGCTTTTTGGCATAGTATTCAAGGGAACGCACAGCTGAAAAAATAAGCAGCTGTAATCAACCCAACAAAGCCGTATCAATCAAAGGAAGTGGTAAAAGTCTTGTAAGCACAGTACAGGCTTAAAATCTCCTGTTCCTACTTCCGCGTGTGTTTTGTAAGCCAAACTTCTTTTTCTTTGCAGTCCATCATAAATTCTGACAGCACTTCTAAATCTGTTAGTGGGTGCAAGTTGCACCTCATCAAAGCAGAATCCCATAAGGTTGTTTGCAGCAAAGCTGCTGGCCACTGGGATTTCATGACAAGGCTGTGGAATAGCAGATGAGAGAAAATTCAAATAGAAGCATATCCCTCAGGTTCTACAGATTTGCTTTGCAAAACAGTGGGTTTACTAATGCTCGGGTAGCTTTAGATAGTTTAAGCGGCTTATGTTTGACTTGGAGTTAAACGTCTAAAACCTGTGATGCAAATGTACAAATATATCACAGCATGAGGAAGAAATGCTGTACTGGCACCAAGATAACCTGAGATAAGTTGTTACCATTGCTAACAATTCAAATCAATAGGTTCTTGTGGCAGTGAGGCTTTCGGTGGGTAACAAGCTTGAGAATGGGAGACAGAGAGAGAACCTGATCCCCAGGATAATGATATGGCATGCAGGAATAGGTTAGTGAAATTTAATAACATCCTTCATACCCTAAAGGAACTAGGTCACCTGTAGGTCACTTTTATTTGCAACATCTGAAGTCTGATTAAGTTTGCTGAAATGTTATGAAGCTGCAGACCAACCGGTGCTCTTCTCTTTAACCAGCAAACAAATCCACAATATCCCAAGCAGTAAAGCTCAGCTCCAGATAACTGGGACGATGTTGCTATTTGCATCTAGTGATGTAGTTAGAAGACCATCTCAACCATCACTGCATATATTACAGATGAATGTTTTTAACTTTCTGTGATCAATCGCATGCAGAACAGTCAGGCCTATGTTTAAACTTTTATTGTAGCACATGACATAATGATACCCCGCCTACCCCATTCTCCCTCCAAAGTTGCTTGTCTGCACTTTACATTCTCAAAAGTATCAGAAACAGGTGTGCAGGGTCGCTTTATGTGAACCAGAGCAGTGTTTCCCACAGACTCACATTCCGTTTGTGGGACACACCTATAATGAGTTGTAGACTAATTCCATTTATAAGGTTCTCTTTTGGAAACATTTTAATTACCAATTATACACTCAGCAATATAATCAGCTGCCTTTTCTGTGAGCATCGCATCTGGATGAAGAGCTGAAATATTTACTGCTTAGTTACTTGAACCTTACAGTCACAGAAAGAAGAAGAAGAAGAAAAGTGGGGGGAGCAGCACAGACATCAGTCAGTACATTAGAGAGAGATTTGACCCATTTCATTCTCACAGCTCTATCTGCAGCCCAGTCACAGAAGATGCTGATGCAGCGTCTCCTCAAGTCTGCTCACATTTAAAAGGAGGCAGAAGAGGGGTTTACTGAAAGTGTTTAACTCTTTGCAACCAATTTCACTCGAGTGACAGTCCAACCTCCAGCAACCTCTCACCAACCAGTTGTGGAATAGTCACTAGTGGGCAGCAGTTTCCAGGGTCTTTGACGGGTCTTTAGACCTGTGTGAATAAGGCTTTAGTAATTGATTCTACGGCGACTGCCAGCAACATCTTGCCATTTGGTCAAGTAATATTTATTTTTCTCTTGTAACTGGTAATTATGGTACCAGGTGGTTGCTAATCAGTCTCTGGGCCTGTGTTACTGAGTCTTTAGAAGAATGCCAAACTAGTTTCAATTCAGTTTTAATTACATAGCATGAAATCACAACAACAGTGGCTTCAAGGCACTTTGCATTGTAAGGTAAAGACCCTACAATAATACAGAGAAAACCCAACAATCAGACAACTCCATATGAGTAAGTGCTTTGGCGACAGTGGGAAGGAAAAACTCCATTTTAACAGGAGGAAACCTCTAGCAGAACCAGGCTCAGGGAGGTGACTGAAGCAGAAATACTTAATGCATCATGGGAATTCCCCAGCAGCCTACACCTATTGCAGCGTAACTAAGGGAGGACTCGTGGTCACCTGATCCAGCCTTAACCATATGCTTTACCAAAAAGAAAGTTTTAAGTCTAATCTTAAAAGTAGAGATAGTGTCGGTCTCCTGAATCCAAACTAGAAACTGGTTCCACAGAAGTAGGGCCTGAAAACCGAAGGCTCTGCCTCCCATTCTACTTTTAAATACTCTAGGAACAACAACAAGTAAGCCTGCAGTGTGAGAGCAAAGAGCTGTAATGGGGTGATATGGTTCTAGAAGATCATTAAGATCCATACGATACAATGGCTTATCAATACAATAAAAAAGATACAAATTCTCAGCTGTGATGATGTGTGAATAGAATAGTCCCCCTGGGATCCCCCTGCTTTCATATTGATATTTCACTGGCCAGTACACTACACCCATCAATCAGTATTCCAGAGAGAAAACTGACCCTGTTTATTCTCATAGTGGTTTTCACATTTGCCTAACAAGCAAAAGAGCCTTACTTCAATGCTGGAGGTAGACACAAATCCCTTTGGGGTTGGCTCAGAAAGGGCATCCCAGTGCAAAAACACTGCCAAATCAAACATGCAGGCAAGCCCGCAGTGGCGATACCCTTCTGAATAAGGAGCAGGTGAAAGTAGCTTTTATTCCCACACAGGTCCCCACACTGCTCAGTCACCAAAGGGACTGGCTGGCTCAGTGCTCCTCAAGTCTGCTCAGAGTTAAAACAGCATTAAGCTGAGACAGAGGAGGGACTTACTGAAAGTGGGATTGTAAAACATTATGGTGATGTGCAAATTAGAAACAGCCAGGAAAAGATCAGCTGCTCTGTCACGCTCGCACACAGTCAAACACACAAAAATGCACAAACACACACAGACACACAGCCCTACTCTGTCAAGAACCCCAGCTGTTTCTTGGCAAGTTTTTTTTTTAATATAAATACAGTGATACAGAGGATGCATCATTTCAGACAACTGTGCGTGTGTGTGTGTGTGCACGCATGTGTGCGTGCATGTACGTTATTGTTTTAAACTGATAATACTGTACCATTTAACTAACAGTACATGTGGTGACTTTCCCGCATGTCACGGTGGAAATTTCACATTTAATATTCACTCTCAAGCCATAACACATAACAACTACCTTTTTATCAAAAGTAGTCTTAAACAAGCTATGACAAGACTTCATAGAAATCTCAGTGATGTCAGAAACTATGCTTTACTTGTTGAAATGATTCTGAGAGAGAAAATGTTAATTATGTGTGCTCCAACACAACTAATAAATAAACAATTGTGAGAAATATGCAACAATGCTACTGAACTTCTGCAGTAAACAGAAAACAGAGCATGATCCACCAGCAGTGCCACATACTGTGTGATCAGAACAGCTGTTCTGTGTAAGCCTACGTGCAGCTCTCACTGTGCTCCCATCACAGCCTGCTTTGTGGACATCATTTCACCTTCAGCTGGTTCAATCCTGTGTGGGGGTTTCTGGAGCAACTTTGGACAGCGGAAATTTTTATTATTGCATTTCCAAATAAAATTAACAAATTCATGACTAGGACAAAAACAAGTGCATTATGCTGCTAACACAACTTTGTGTGTGTTACACAGTGTTCTGTGTAAAATATGTAATACATTATGCACACAGCATGCAATTAATTAGAGTCAACGTGATGTCTTTGATATGCTGTTTAGCAACGGTGGTGATTCTTAAAGCAGAGCCAAAAAAAAAAGCCAGGAATTGAATGGAATCCATGAAGTGATATTGATAATGGAATTGGAACCACTATTTTCTTATTAATTCCCATCCCTAATTCTGTGCTTATACACACACAGTTTTACACAGACACAAAATAAGCTCTTGGTTAATTAAACAACCCGATCCATTTAACTGTGTACTTAACTACAGAGCCTTGCAGCTAAAACTGTTATTATACTACTAGTATAATAATACCAGTAGTGTCCCTGCTGTTAGCTACAGAGAAAAAAAGGATCCCTCTGATTATCTGCCACGTCTGTCACATAATCCTCTTGATGACTCTCTGTTACATAATCCTTGTGGTTTGTCTGTGTTTACATTCATGCACTTAACTTTTACTATGTCTCTATGTCCTATTAATGCTGCTATTATGGAGGTAATGAGAGCTCAACAGCTGTAGCAGCGGGCTGGCGTTATCGTGACACAGTCCAGGACAGCACTCAGACTTCCCACAAGTCTTTTTAAAGAAAGAATTGTTTTTAGAGTTCTTAAGAAAATGAAAACTTCTCGCTTTTACTTCATCCTAAGACTGAATACTTTTTTTGTTTTCCATATTCGTGTAGATACAAACAAAATGGAAAATTTTGGACATTTGATTTGCAACTATTTCGCAAACTTCATAAACATGTTTTGGCTAATTGCAGCTCAAAACCAGGAGAGCAGCCTCCACAGAGGCACAGCACTTGATTATTGATCTGTTTGGGTCAACTTTATCCAACAACAGACCAGTGCAAACTGTAGGTGGTCCACTATTATCTGTAGTACCTCAGAG